ATCAACAGACCCTCGTAAATAGCCATAACAAGAAGGTAAGGCACAGAGACTTCGCTCTTGGCGATCTGGTTCTGAAAAGGAATGTGAGGATAGTCAAAAAGATGTTCTCCCCATGGGAAGGTCCATACAGACTTGCAGATGTCATAGGGAAGGGAGTGTACGTCCTGGAAACTATGGCAGGAAGGGGGCGTACGTCCTGGAAACTATGGCAGGAAGGGTGGTCAGTAAGCCATGGAATGCTACGTCCCTGAAAAGGTACTACCAGTAGAAGTAGAGTTTAATTTCAAACAATATGGACATTTTAAATTGCATACTTGCAAGTATACGAAATTCCCAAGTTTTATAAAAAGTGTTTACTTTGCTCAAAAATCAATTGACATCTTTCCCATTCAGCAGAGTTAGTGGCAGCTGGCACTATGAGCCGAACACCAAACACTTGCTCAAAATGAATAAAGCCAAGTGGCAAGTGGCGTTCAAGCCGAGCGCCAGGCATTTAGTAAAGTTAGTGGTAGCTGGCACTATGAGCCGAACGCCAAACACTTGCTCAAAATGAAATAAAGCTAAGTGGCAAGTGGCGTTCAAGCAGAGCGCCAGGCATTCAGTAAAGTTAGTGGCAGCTAGCACTATGAGCCGAACGCCAAACACTTGCTCAAAATAAAATAAAGCCAAATGGCAAGTGGCGTTTAAGCCAAGCGTTAGGCATTCAGCAAAGTTAGTGGCAGCTGGCACTATGAGCCGAACGCCAAACACTTACTCAAAATAAAATAAAGCCAAGTGGCAAGTGGCATTCAAGCCGAGCGTCAGGCATTCAGCAAAGTTAGTGGCAGCTGGCACTATGAGCCGAACGCCAAACACTTGCTCAAAATAAAATAAAGCCAAGTGGCAAGTGGCGTTTAAGCCGAGCGCCAGACATTTAGCAAAGTTAGTGGCAGTTAGCACTATGAGCCGAACGCCAAACACTTAGTCAAAATAAAATAAAGCCAAGTGGCAAGTGGCGTTCAAGCCAAGCGTTAGGCATTTAACAAAGCTAGTGGCAGCAGGCACTATGAGTCAAACGCCAAACACTTGCTCAAAATAAAGTAAAGCCAAACGGTAACCAAGCCGAACACCAGACACTTATGAAAATACACAACAAGGTTGAAAATTGAAAACTTGAAGAATGGAAGTTGTGCTGAACATAAGCACTGTCATTCATTACAAAAGGATCCTAAGGTACATAGCTTAATGATCTGAGGATACATGAAGGTACATTATAAAAATAAAAAAATAAAAATAAAAAATAAAAAAACACTGCAGAATGTCAGTTCTCATGGTCTTCTCCAGGCTGTGACTTGTCGTTCTCCCCATCATTACCCTCTGGACTATTGGGGTGTTCTCTATTCTCAGCTGCGCCATCATCCTTGGGGGGAGAATCAAGGTGAACCACCCCCTTAGCTAGCATGAGTCTGTAAGTAACAAATGAGGAAGAGGGCACGATAGTAGAAATGGGAGAAATATTCAGAGGGTGGAAAGGTAGAACAACTCCTGAGGATGCAACCTCTCTGCACTCGATGAAGATATTCTCAGTAGGGTCGCAGGGTGGATTTTGATAATTGTTTGCGGGGTGGATATCCAAAGAAGCGTCCAATTCATCTGGACCAGCACAAGAACTTGATTCGCCTTCAGGGGGAGAACGGTCAATAAAACCATCTCTATACCCTTCAGTATACCGGATGGCACTGGTTATGGTGAAGCGAGTAAGGAGAGCTTTCATACCCCATTTAACTTTGCCAATCATATTCAGCAAAGAAGAACGTTCGCTTAAAAGCTCTCCTGTAAGTTGGCATGAGACAACTGGTCAGCAATAAATGAACGCTGAAGGTCTCCCTTTTCAGCTTTCAGTAAGTCTCTTTCAGTCAAAGCAACACTCTTCTCAGTCTTCAAGACATCAACCTCATCTTGAAGAGAATCCCGTTCGGCCTTCAGGGTATCCCGTTCGGCTCTGAGGGTGTCCCTCTCATTTGCCAGACCGTCTTTCTCTGCCTTTAAGGCAGTAACCCCTTTCTCTGACTCGCTCAGCTTAGACTCAAGCTCAGCAACTTTGACCTCAAGGCGGCTCTCTGCTTCAACAGACCTTTTAAGGCCTACAGAGAGGGATTTAAGTTTTTTGTTCAGAGTCTCAATGGTCTTTTGGAAGGTGAACATCCCGAATAGAGTCTGCATAAAGGAAGGGAAATTCAGGTCAGACTAGCTACTAAAAAGTTATAGTAGAAAGGAAACATAACTCAATAAAAAGAGCAGTTACCTCCATAGTAGCAGCTGGGAACCGCTGGAACATCTCGCCAAAAGATAGCTTGTTCTGAATCTCAAGGTCCTTGGGGGTCCAAAAACCCTTGTAGAAAGCAAAGGAGGTGAAGGGGTCCTTGTACATAGAGTCGGTAGGGCCAATGGTCGAGCCATCTTCATGGCTGAGCAAAGGTCGCCATGGAAGAACGGATGAAGTTGGACCAGAGGTTCTGGCTAATTCACCCTTTGGAATGAAAAACCGAGCTGGGGGCAATGGTTCAGTAACCCTGAAAGAAGCCATCCTGGTCCTCCGAGCTGGTAGGACATCATTCCGGTCATGACCGCCCTCAGGCATTGGCCTTTTTCCCAAACTTTTTTCTGACAGACAAGCACTAGCTGGTCCTCCATTGTCCTGAGAATTTCCAGCATCCTGAGTGCTCTCTGAAGAAGTATCATACAAGATGTTGGAAGGCGTAATGATGGGAGCAGCAGGACGGGTTTCAGCAGGGTGATCCACAACAAGGTTCTCAGCATGAGCGAGCTCAGAAGGCTCAACAACAGAACGGTTTGTGACTTGAGTCACAGTTAGAGCAATCACAACTTGTTCTGGGGCAGAGACAGCAAGGGTGGACGATGTAGTAGCAGGTGTAGATGATGATGTGGTAGCAGGAGCGTTAGAAGGGGTGGGAGCAGAACGCCTCCTCCTGCTGAAAGATGGGATCTGAATGCTCTCCATTGTGGACCCTAAAAGATAAATGTCAGAGAGATTGTCAGATGTAAACAAATCAGTAGCTGAAGGGACGTTGTTCAGCACACTCTCTTGCAAGATGCCTAGCCTGGCCCTGCAAACGCTATAAACCAATTCATCATGGGGAATTTGAAGGCATCTACAAAGAAAAGTGCAAAAACGGGGAAGGCAACTTTTACAATGGCATTCAGTAGGATGTGTTTTCAGTTTTTTTGTAGCCAAAGACAGAGCATGCTCCAAAGGAAGAAGGGATAGAGAAAGATTGGCCGAGCGGAATCCGCCAATTCCCACTAACCACAATCAAGTTTTGTCTCTAACCTTTTTCAAATGAGTTCTTATCAGTGCAGATGCAGATCAACCGTTTGTCAATAGGGAAGAAGTGATAATACAGATTGTGTAATTTTATTAATCCGGTAGTAGAGGAGAAGGTCGATGATGTCGAGGTTGAGACCCCTGTCACGATTCAAGAGCAGGAGGACTGAAATTACCCTAAGGAAGTTGGGGTTAACCTGCAGAGGGCAGAGCCCCAATTTGTTGAAAGCATAACAAAAGAATGGGTGTAATGGGAACCTAACAACGTTCAAATGAACGACAGAGAATAAAACTTCCCCAGGAAGGAGGCCCTCACCAGATTTCCCATCTAAGTTTATTAGATAGACCCTGAGAGAAACGTCATTGGGAATGCTATTCTTGGATCGAATGACGTTCAGATTAGGGGGAGCCATAGAGAAGGGGAGGAGTCCTAGGCAATAAAGGTGTCTTTTTCAAAGAGAGAGGTAAAAAAAAACTAACCTTGGAAGTTTATGATGAACACAGCAACAGCACAGTAGCCAAAATCGTAATGGAAAAACTCGCCGGAGAAATTGAAGTAGAATTGTCGGAATGTGCAGGAAGGCAACGGAGAATAGAAGCAGGGTATGGAAAAGAAAGATAAAAGTTGAAAAGATCGGGGTTTATAAGGAGAAGAGGTGAAGGCGACATGGAATTCAAAAGGTCAAGGCAAAAAGTGGCTCTGCAGATCTCGAAGTTTGGGCTTTTGTGCCAGCCATTCGATTCCTCATGTCATCGCTCCGAGCCGTCAGACTAAGATTGTGTCTTTTCAATAATCTCACCCTTATTAATGAGGGGAGAGATTATTGGGGGCAGATGAGGACACCGAAAGTGACCCGGGCTTGGTATGATTCGTATTGTTAAGAACGGGTCGGGTATGGATAGCCAGTATGGAGCAAGTCCACGCTGGATAGGCCCAGATCCATGAAGTCATTGCGGAAACCCATGTTAAGATGAAAGAAGTTGAGTCTAGGTAAAAGAGAACAAGGCACAGCTCAGAGGAGGTTGTAACCGTCTATAAATAAAGAAAATTAAAAGGGAAAAGAGGTTAGAAATCATTGGGAGTGTAAAATTTCTCTTTCTGCAATTGGGGGAAATTCTTTGTACTTTTAGGGTCACTACAAGAAAAATGGCTTTTAACAAGGGGCGAAAACCAGTTCTACAATGGGCATGGCCCTTTGTGGTATCCCCTGTCGTTGTTGACTCAGGGTCTTCTACGACGGTTTCAGCACACTTTCCATAACGGTTTAAACCATTGTAGAAGTTCATACTTCGACAATGGGCAATGGCCGTTGTAGAAAGTAGATTTTTCTACAACGGGCATTTATACCCATTGTAGGTGTGATTTTCTACAACGAACATAACCCCTCTTATAAATTTAACTTTCCACAACAATTTTTGCTTGTTCTGCGAGGGACTTTGCCCCTTGTGAAAAGTGATTTTTATTTTATTTTATTTATTTATTTACTTTTCCACCCAAAAAATTTATATGCCTGTTTTTCATGAGATCCAACACAAAACTGTATGCCTATTTTTTCACAAATATTACATAACCAAAGTTCCACCCAAAGCCATATATTTTCACACCAAGCCTTGGGCAAATCAACAACATCAACATATTTGATGCATGCAAAAACATAGCTTAAATAAAAAAGGATAAATCCCAACAATAACGAACAAATAAATTTGAAGAAGTCTTATATTCATCAAAGATTTCAATGCACAATTCCATCATTGTTGACATATATATATACCCACAAAAATTATAACCCGGCAAGTAGCAATATCCACAAAAAATAAAAATATTAAGGCAATTGCTCACTCTTCTAGGTAACCCAATTGGTCAGTATTACACTACTTGTGTTTTGCTTGTCATTATATCCTCATTGTAGTGCCCGTCATCATATTCTGATACCCTAAGAAGCACACTCAGGTATCCCAAAAGAAAATGATAATCTTGAACCTGTAAATAGAGAAAATAGAATTGGGTACAATTAATTTGTTGGAGAGAGACAAACATGATAGTGAAGATAAAATATGATAGTGAAGGTAAAATATGATAGTGAGGATAAAATAAAAAGATATCTTACCAAGAATCTTTTAAGTTATTTTATATTTCATTTTCACTTTCTTAACAAACCAAACACATAAATCGTAATTTCCTATAAAGTAGCAATGAAAAAGAAGAATACTCTTGACCTTTGTTGTAGACTGGAATCATGGAGATTCTGATCCTTCTGCTCCTAATTTGGTTGCTCCGGGAAAATAAGAAAATAAGTAACAAAAAATAAGTTCTTGAAAATCAAATCCTTTTATCACATGGTAACCAGTAAAACAGAATCATCAATTCAGCAAGGTTCCAATATGCACCTACTTTCTTGTTAAAGGTATGGCCATGTCCCATTAATTAAACACAGTAATGTAGGTTACCAAATTGTGATTACTCATAATGAGAACCCACTACGCATTTTTGTGTGAGAGAGAGAGAGAGATGCAAAAAGGTTTCTAATGCAATAATAAGTTGATGAACAGAGACCATTTTCTGAAAAGCTTTACAATTTTTTCCAGGGGATACATTATAGCCATTAAAACCAATGGTGACATTGTTATAAGACTAAAGCCACTGCCAACACCATCATAACATGATAATATAAAAAATGAATCAGAAAAAGTCTAAAAGAAATAAGAGCACAGCTTGAGTCAAATAAAGTCTGCATTTCAATCATCCAAAAGTACAGGTAATGATGGTAGTGAATTTAACTAAGAAAAGATCAGGCAAAGCTAAAAAATCCTGCACCTAAACACAATACTGCAACTAAACATTTATTCCTCTTTCAATTCACCGTTACTTTCCCGACTTATCATCCGAGATTATTTGGCAATAACATGCCAGTGTTAAGACCTCTCTTCCATTTTACAGGAAGTTCCATCCACTCTTGTGCATAGGAATCACACCTAATTGGTGGATCAGATTTGAACGCTAAGAATAACTACTAAAAATCAAGCAAAAAATGCATAAATTATATAACATAAACATAATGAAGCATGTACATTAGACCAAAGTTTAGGACTAGTCTTGGGCCACATGCCAAAATTTTGAACCCAACTGCATTGACCAACAAGGAATGCCCAAGCCTAATAACCCACATTTACAAACCTTCATCCTAGGTTCCTCAAAATAACAATGCCAAAATTGCTAAAATTTAATTTTTTTTGGCATTTTGAAACCGAAGCAGAGAAGAGAGAGAGTAACAACAATGGTTTCTTTATCATCATTCTAGACATATCTCCAATTTATTGTGATTGAACTCAATCACTAGCATCATCAGATGACTCGATCTTACTGATTCCGATGCGCTTCACGGCGCATTCATAAACCTATCAGCAACAGCCTGCTGTATATACGTTCCACTCTGTTGCTGTTCAAGCCCATCATGTAGTTCTTTATATCTTAATCAATTCAATAAATTACATCTTAATCAATTCAACCCTTCTTTTTACACTCACCCACCCACTTAGCCCTAGACATGCAGGCTTTCTAACCCTTGCTGAATACACACACACACACACAAACAGAGATATATATATATCAGCAGTGTCCTCCATTGTGGCTGATTCCTTGGGACCTTAACTCAAATAAAGCCTGTGGTACTCCCCAAAAGGTCTCTTATAGTATGACATCTATAGCATTTAAGCTTTCACATATGGGATACTCAGCTATGTTACCTTCCACACTGAATTTGCTAAAACAAAAGTAGTGGGTACTACACTCAATGCCTCTCCTCTATTTATCTATTGTTGCATGAATTTCCTAAAACCCCAAATTGGGTTTCTCAAATAAATGATAATTCTTTGTTGGGATTTCCTTTGAACAAAATAACCAAGCAGTATTTTCCACTCCAAAAAAGAAATTTAAAAAATTATACTAATCTAATATTGTGCTTTCAGCTAAACTCCACCTTTCAACTGTTGAACTCTTTAGTTGTTTCTCAGCATCAATTGTTGTGACTTTAAATTAAATGACTATCTTTTTGTGGATGGCCTTTACCACTTAAAGTTGGATGTGATGCCCTTCTCATTTTTATCTTTCAAACAGACACACAGAAACATGAGATAATACTTTAATTTAGTTGCAAACAGATGATTACAATGGTTTAATTCATTAATTTAGGTCTAACATTAATTATATTATTTTTTAAAATTAATATATAAATGAATTATAATAAATACATAGTTTTCTATTTGCTTTAATATCGTAGAAGAATTGTCATGTAAAAGTAATTCTAAACAAAAAATTTGATATATAAATTTTGAGACCAAGTCATTGAAAAATAAAAAGGATGTGGAACAATGATATAACTATTTAACAAATGCATGATACAATAATTATATATACATATATCTATATATATACATATATTTTATATATGTATATGAAAATTTTAACCTCAAATACATACAAACCTTGAACAATAAAAACCTTGAACAATCAAGAGTAGTTAATACATTGTTCTTCTTTCCACCAAGGAAAACTGTTTTTAGTTGTTTAATATGAAGCATCTGACTAAATTTCCCAAAGTTATACAATCATACAATGTATTTGATCAAATTTCAAGAAAAAAAAAAAAAAGAGAGTAAATGACAATAGAGTAAGACTAGAATCATACCAATCGGATCAGTTATAAACTGTTATAGTACTTCCTTGGATGGGTTGTTCTCTTCTATGCATTGTTTTGTTTATACCGACAACAATGCTCTTGAGGAGGCACCTAAAAGTGTAATTTAGATGGATCAACGGAAATTCAACCATAATAAAAGATGCCATTATCAAACTTAAGTACTCACTGATATAACACTAACAATTTTAGAAATAATATTACTTGTCTATGGCAGTATACACAATAATTTCAGCTTTCAATTGCAGTTTCATACAACCCATTAACAGAGTACTTAGAACACAATGAGAACCGTAAAATTTTCTGATGCTATATGTGGAAAAACAACAGTAAGGAACAATCACCGATGGAAAGCTCACAGTTTTCAAATAAAAACTCCATTATATAAATGTGCAAATATATAATAATATTTGGGTTCACAGAATGTATTCAAATTGAAATAATCAGACAACTTGTTTCATAAAGAATGTAAATATACCAAATAATCTCTCTCTCACACACACTCACACACGATACATATATAAATATATTCTTGGATTATAGATGTAGATTTACAACAATTTGAAGAAGGCGAAACAACCGAACTCACCTGGCCGTCAACTTGCTGGCTTCTAAATTCTCTGTTCACAGACAGAATTGGTACGAAGAAGACAAAGAACGGTTCGAACTCTATGGAAGGTTACGAGGATCAGAATTAGATGAGGAAATTGAAGTAAAAACAGAATCGTTCATCAGCTTCTTCATTTTCTAGGTCATGTTTAAGCAAAAATTCACAAATTTCGAACATAGTGTAGTGAAGAGGATGAAGATTGCGCGTGTTACGGCAGATTGTAGATGCATATTCAATTTCTGATTGCTAGGTTTTGCAGGGAAATTTATTATTTAGGATTATTTAGATCATCCCCAACATAATGTAGTGAAGAGGATGAAGATTGTGAATCTGAACAATTTAATTTAAGCAACAATATATATGTTTCAATATAAAATAAATAATTTTTAAGCAACAATATATCTATTTCGATCTAAATTAAATAATTCTTGAATAGTCCTCAAAGGTTTTGGATGCTAATGGGAGGTAATTTATATTGGATGTTCATTTAAACTTCTCAAAATAAATCAATAACAGGTTACCTCTTACATCTTTTCCATTTGCTCGACTTCTGAGTCTTCAATTAATTATGGAGACTAAAAAAGAAGGTGAAAGTGAAAATAAAGAGAAAAATGTGATAAAATAAGCCCTACCTCCTTCCAGCAGTCTAGTCCCGCCATGAATCAGGATTCCGCGCGACTTGTGCCCTGGCTACTTTCTCGGATCCCGAGCAAAAGGAGTATCTATGCTGAGAATGGACGTCAAAATTCAAGATGGCAAATTGAAAGACTAACCCCAATTTCATAATACACTGTCAAAGACTAACCCCAATTTCATAACACACGATTGTTTGTTATTCAATCTTGATTCATGGAAGTCCGGTTTCATCAATCTAACTATACTATAGGTGAAGAGAAGAGGGCAATTTACTGGACAGTCACAGAAATCAGATTACAATGACATAAATAGGCGACTATAAAATGGTACATTCGTCCTTGCTCGCTCGCTAGTAGAACTGGTCGCTGGTCTTCGTTGGTCGCTGCTCGCCGGTAGCTGCTCGCAGGTCGCTGGTCTTCGTCGGACGCTGGAATTCGTCAGATTAAGATTCTCAATTCTGGTCAGCCTACAGATGATGGTATCTTCCACGGTTTTTTTCTGTGTCTTTTGTTGCTGGAAAAAAGAAGAAAATAGATGAGAGTTCAGAGAAGGAAGAGATCGAGGAGAACAGAGACGAGAGTTCAGAGATGAACAGAGACGCACCTGGGCAATTTTCCTCTGAAGGTGAAACTCGCCAAAGACGAAGCTCCCGAAAAATTCGTGCTTCGACTTAGAGAGGGTTAGGGTTTCATATGGATTCAAGAGAGAGAGAGAGAGGGCTGCTTTGGTTGATTGATGTGTACAAAGTTGGCCCAAATAGAACCATGAAGAGACCCAGGCTTCAAGGCGAAGCCCAAGAATACAACAACAACATTAGCTATAGAAGCAAAAACCAGAAGACCGTTGATGGTCAACAGCACAATCCAAATCGGAGCATGGAGACAATCTCCCAAGTGAAAGCAGTCAGGAGGTTTCGCCGGTGGTCGGATGGTCGACGGAGGGAGGTCCCACTCTTCAATTACCCTTCTATCATTTTGAGAAGTTCTGATGGAAGATGAAAGAAGTTCTTGTCTAACAGTCTCCTTGTCTAACAGTCTCCAGAGTTTGGTGAATCAGGAATTTGCAGTAAGTGATTTCTTCTTGAAAATTCTCCTATTGCGCTCGTACCAAATTTTGTAAACCAGAGAAGGCAAACCCATTTTGGATATTGTGTTACAGTAGGTTCCTGAATTTACTGAATCTGCCCTACTGGACATGAATCTTTATCCTTCCGAAGAAGACTATCAATGACATCAACAACATTCTTGGTGCTTTCCTCTGGTGTGGAATCGAAATGAGCCACCACAAAGCAAATATCAGATGAGCCACCACAGAGCCATCGTCTTCCGAATCGATGGATTCCATAGATAAAGCTCCTTCCAGTCCACCACACGGGAAAAAGTCCTCGATCCCAAATCGAATCGATGGATTTCATCGTCTGCACGCCTACCAAGATCCTCTCACCAAAGAAAAAGTCCAGCACACCATTAATGGATATTACTACTTGCAATCTTCATTACCTAGTCATTGGACCCGTTTGGCAACAGGGGCGGAAGATTTCAATCCGGAGTGTTAAAAAAAAAAAAAAAAAAAAAATAGTAATATTTTCATTGATTACATATAGAGCCCGTTTGTGATTGCTGCTTAAAAGATTTTTATTTTAAAAAATTGTTTTAGACGTGCTTAGTAAATCATTAAAAGTGCTTTTAATGATTATCAAATTTAGTTTAATAGTAGTTTTGAATTAAGCTGGAATTTGGAACTTTTAAAATTGTGGGGTAGAGGCTGTATATTTTAAGGTAATTATTTTTCATTTGACAATTTTGTCCTTTTTATTTTTTATAATGTAACTTGTTTAATAAAATTACTATTGTCAAATATGGTAATATATCGTATTAAAAGATATTATTGTAAAATTAGTAATAGAAGTGTCTTAAAAAAAACTGTTACCAAATAAATTAAAAAGTAATTTAATTGTGAAAAATACTTATTATAGTGTCACCAAACTTACCAAAAGCAATATTTTGATAGCTTTATTGATAAAAGTGTTTTTTTTTATCCAACATCAATCCCAAACCGGCTCATAGAGTAGCTACTATGAGGTATCCTTTGTGAGATTTTTATTTTTATTATTATTATTTTTATGTGTACAAAAGAAAAAAAAATTAAGAGATAATTTTAGAAATTAAAAGTTCAGGGCTTTACTGTTCGAAAACAAAATAAAATAAAAAAATTCAGGGGCTTTACATAGAAAATTTTCATATATATATATATATATATATATATATATATATAAATTAAAAAATAGCTATATAGCCATGGGCGAGGCCAAGGGTTTGTGCCCCCTTGGGCACACACTGTTTTACATTTTGGAGCAGAAGCATGTTTTTGTTGTGATGTAATTTATTTTGAAGCAATGTTTGATAACTACATTTGTTGCACAATATTTCAAAGCAAATAGTAATGAAAAAGCTTGTTTAGATGATTGTAATATATATAGTAGCATTTATATATATTTTTTTGCACATTTATATTGTATTGAATTTTAAAAAAAATCTCTCTATAATTACCTGACTACGAGATTAAAAACAAGCGAAAATTCTTTTTCATTATCAATTGTGTGTTTTTTTTTTTTGAAAAAAAGTTAAAGCAATATATATTGAAGAAGAAGAATTGCAAGAGAGACCCAACAGGAAGTTAGGGCCAAACAAATGCAACAACAATCAAAACTTAGCCCTGACTATCCTAAAGCCCAGCCAGGCCATTCAACCATCCAAATCAATTTTCTCCCAAATTCAAAACAGAAGAAGGTTGTTCTAAGCCCAAATTCAAAACAGAAGAAGGTTGTTCTAAGCCTTGTAGTAGTCTAGTGTATGGTTAGGGTTGAAATTCTCAAGTGATCAGTAAATTGAATGTGTGAGTGATGTGTACTTCAAGCTAATGAAGAAAAAAATCAAGACTGTTGAAGATATCAACCTAAATTCAAAATCCCCAATGGTGGTCTGTTGCTTGAGCCTCACCGGAGTTGTAATTCTGTTCTTCTGTTCAACAGATATTTTTTGTAGTTCTTTGGGCCACTTATATGGGTTTCTCTGTAACTTGCTTGGGCCAAAGGCCATGTTTCGCTTTTTTGGGGTTTTTTTTCAATTGAATTTACCATTCAAAATAAATAAATAAATAATTTTTTTTTTTTTTTTTTTTTTTTTTTTTTTGAAGACCACAATTTTTCAATAAAAAATTAAGAACAAAAAACCTTCCTCAATACTAACTTATCAGAGGTGTCCCATATTAGATCCGAATGGGAAGAAAAATGGATATATATGGGTTGTGTGTTATTTTTATCTAATAACTTAAATTTTTAGGTTGAACCATGAAACACCTAACCGGTAAAATGAGGATATTAAGGGAAGTCCTGACATCATAGAAAAAATAAAAAAATTATTGTGGAACATCTCATGGCATAGACCAAATTAGACTATAGAGATAGAAAAAAAGGAGTAACAATCAAGGGAAAAATCACCTGCTAGATTTATTATTATTTTCATTTTGTTTTTGAAAGGGATCATGAGCTAGATTCCATAACCAAGCATTGTAAAGGTTCCAATATATACATAACTTTTCCTGACAAAAATTTCACCAAAAAAGCTAGATTCCATAACATTCCTAGTGTATATCATAAGGTGTTTCTCAAAAAAATAACCTATAAGCTATACATGGTCCATAACCAAAATATTCTTTCTTGCCTTATCGGATCTGGATGGCTAGTGAGATAAAAGTAAGCATCCTCAATTAACAACGGTTCAACTCCAATTGAAATCAATTTGTTTAAGATTTCCACCTCAATGCACGTTTTGCATAATCGACATTTCCCTCTCTAATAGATTCGGCAACAGAAGCAATCTCCATGCACAGAACCAGATGGGTTTTTTACTTCTGTGTAAATTACTGAAATCTGAGAAGTTGACATCAGAGACAAAAGATGAAGAAAAGGGCAAAGTTTAGAAAGCAGTTATGTAATTTGGCTGTGGTGTATGGTTGGTAGAGACATTTTGTGGACATGTACACTCAAAATATAGCTAAGAGATCTATTCAGAATTTTAGTTGAAATAAGTAAAACAATTTCAAAAGAACTATGAAATATGAAAATGAATACATGTCATAACAATGAAAAAAGGCACAGGATAAATTAATTTTTGTCTGCCTCCTTCTTCAACAAAAATAATTGAAAATCAGTTTTCTCAAAGTGATGCCATATATATAACAGACTAATTAAGATGTTTTAATTGTAACTCTTCAAAGATGAATATCAAACAGTAATTGACAAATAAAAAATAAAAGTTGAAGTTTAGGCTACTTACTAGGGCAATGATGAAATAGAGGTAATCACTTAAATGCTAGGTTGAGCTTTTACATTCACATGTAGCAATAACAGAAAACATGTAATTCCTTACAAGTGACTGTATCACCAAAGTTTTTTGTTGTTGTTGTTGTTGTTGTTGGCAAGAGATGATCGATTGAGTTGTGTGGCGATGAACTAGGGTTTGCAGACACAAGAACCGAATTGGAAGAAATTGTCAGATTTCCTACCTCATGATGTGTTCATCGCCGTCCCACTCGACTACCGATCAAAACACTCGTCTGGTGCGCTTGTGTCGGTAAATCATGGTGGTCCTTGATCACAAACCCTAGTTTCATCACTAGTTCCCTAGAATCACTACACACCTCAATCGATCATCTCCTGCGAACAATGATCTTAATTCTACTATATTCGAAGCCCTCTCCCGTGATGATGGCAACGGAGTGAATTACTCACTTGCGATGCAGAGCTTGAGCTTCTGCTGATGAGATGCAATTATTCACTTTTAATGAATGATCAACCTTTTTTTCTTTTTCTTTTCTGTTTTCTTTTCGCCGAAAGTTATGATCAACCTTGGTTGGCTGGGAAAGTATTTGTTGAAAAAGCAAGTGGTCCTGGTTCAATTATTGGCTTGGAATGTCTGTTGAAATGGTCCTTGGTTGACTTTTCGGTGATCCACTTTTCCATTTCAAAAGAAAAAAAAAATATATATATATATATATACTATTATTAAATACGTAAAGTGTTTATTTATTAATTAATATAAATTCTAACACTCAAAATTACCTAATAAAATTAAAATTAATTCAAATTGACAAAATATAAAAAGAGTTTAATTCAAATTACAAAGTCCTACATTGGTTTTAAATAAAAAAAGATTACATGAAAGACTCTAAGATCAAGTGTAGTACTAAATTTTTTTGGGTCGGCCTTTTGGCTAATCTTTTTTGGTCTTTCGGCTAAGATCAAGTGTAGTACTACTTTCTCGGCCTTTGTGCAAAGAGTTTCAGTATTTATTTATTAATTGATATAAATTTCATAAAACTCAAAATTAACTAATAAAATTCAAATTAACAAAATATAAAAATAGTTTAATTCACAATAAAGGGCTTTCATTAATTATTATATCCCACGATATAAATTCTATAAAACTCAAAATTAACTAATAAAATTAAAATTCAATTTATAATCAATTGTGCTTGACCAAATGATCCATAAATTAACATATTTATCCATTTATTATTATGAATTTTTTTAATAAAAGAAATCTAATTAGACAAGAATTATTAATATAAAATATTTATTAATTGATATATAAAACAAAATAATTTTTCTAAAACTCCACCATAAATTAGCTTTTATTATGAGTTTCTTAGTAAAATTAAATCTAATTAGATAAAGATATATATTTAAAAAAAATAAAATAATTTTTATAAAACTCTATAACAAATTACCTATTGTATTTTCAATAAAACTATATCACACTAAACAAAAATATATTTAAAGAGTTTCTATAAAACTCTAACACAAATTACGTATTTATCTATCTATTATGAGTTTTTTAATAAAAGAAAATCTAATTAGACAATTATTGTTAATATAAAAAATTATTTATTAATTGATATAAAAAGAGGTTTTAAAAGAGTTTCTGTAAAACTCTAACACAAATTACCTATTTATCTATTTATTATGAGTTTTTTTTAATAAAAATAAATCTAATTAGACAAGAATTATTAAAATCAAAAATATTTATTAATTGAAAATTACCTAATCAAATCATGCAAAGTGTTTCAGTATTTATTTATTTATATAAAAAATATATTTATTAATTGATACAAAAATAGTTTTTGTAAAAATAGTTTCTATAAAACTCCAAAAATTACCTAATAAAATCAATCACATTCTATATAAAACTCTAATTTTTAGTTCAATATATATAAAAAAAAAATAGTTATTTTTTATAGATAATTATCATAATATAACCGGCCCAGCCCAGTTATGATTATGTAATTATATAAATAAAAAAAAGGACACATGTCATCATCCTATTAATCCAAGAAGCTTATAAATAGAGGCATGGATGAAGGAGTAAGGGATACAGAAATTCAGAATTCCAGAGTAAAATACAGAAACTTTACCAAAGAGTTTCAGTATTTTAGTATTTATTTATTTATATACAAAAATATTTATTAATTGATATAAAAAAGTTTTTATCTATACTATTATTAGATGTACAAAGAGTTTCAGTATTTAAGTACAAATTACTTATTTATTATTATGAGTTTTTTTTTAATAAAGTAAAGTCAGTATTTATTTATTTATATAAAAAATATATTTATTAATTGATATAAAAAGAGTTTTTATCTATACTATTATTAGATGTGCAAAGAGTTTCAGTATTTATTTATTTATATAAAAATAATAATTAAAACACTAAAATCTACATAATAAAATTTAAATTAATCTATTTATTATTATGAATTTTTTAATAAAAGAAAATCTAATTAGACAAGAATTACAAATATATAAAATATTTATTAATTGATATATAAAACAAAATAATTTTTCTAAAACAGTACCACAAATTAGCTTTTATTATGAGTTTCTTAATAAAATTAAATCTAATTAGATAAGGATATATTTAAAAAAAATAAAATAATTTCTATAAAACTCAATCACAAATTACCTATTTTATTTTCAATAAAACTTTATCACATTAGATAAAGATATATTTAAAGAGTTTCTATAAAACTCTAACATAAATTACTTATTTATCTATTTATTATGAGTTTTTTAATAAAAGAAAATCTAATTAGACAAGTATTATTAATATAAAAAATTATTTATTAATTAATATAAAAAGAGGTTTTGAAAGAGTTTCTATAAAACTCTAACACAAATTACTTATTTATCTATTTATTATTAGTTTTATAATAAAAGTAAATCTAATTAGACAAGAATTATTAAAATAAAAAATATTTATTAATTAAAAATTACCTAATAAAATAATGCAACGTGTTTCAGTATTTATTTATTTCTATAAAAAAAATATTTATTTATTGATATAAAAATAATTTTTATGAAAATAGTTTCTATAAAACTCTAAAAATTATCTAATAAAATCAATCACATTCTATATAAAACTCTTATTTTTAGTTCAATATAAAAAGAATATTTATTTTTTATGAATAATTATCACAATATAACTGGTCGAGCAGTTATGATTATATAATTATTACACATGTCATTATCGTACTAATCCAAGAAGGCTATAAATAGAGGCATGGAGGAAAGGGTATAGAAATTGAAAATTCTAAAAATTTAGAATTCTAGAGTAAAATACAGAAACTCTGCCAAAGAGTTTCAATATTTATTTATTTATATAAAAAAATATTTATTAATTAATATAAAAAGAGTTTTTATCTATATTATTATTAGATGTGCAAAGAGTTTCAGTATTTAAGTATTTATTTATTTGTATAAAAAAATATTTAAAAAACTAAAATTTAAATTAACCTATTTATCTATTCATTATTATGAATTTTTTAATAAAAAAAATCTAATTAGACAATAATTATCAATATAAAAAAATATTTATTAATTGATAAATAAACCAAAATATTTTTTGTAAAACTCTACCACAAATTAGCTTTTATTATGGGTTTATTAATAAAATTAAATCTAATTCGACAATGATATATTTAAAGAAAATAAATTAATTTCTCTAAAACTTTATCAAAATTACCTATTTTATTTTCAATGAAGCTCTATCACACCAGACAAAGATATATTTGAAGAGTTTCTATAAAACTCTAACACAAATTACCTATTTATCTATTTATTATGAGTTTTTTAATAAAAGGAAATCTAATTAGATAAGTATTATTAATATTAAATTTATTTATTAATTGATATAAAAAGAGGTTTTAAAAGAATTTCTATAAAACTCTAACACAAATTACCTATTTATATATTTATTATGAGTTTTTTTTTTTAATAAAAGTAAATTTAATTAGACTAGAATTATTAAAATAAAAAATATTTATTAATTGCAAAATTACCTAATAATATCAATCATATTCTATATAAAACTCTTATTTTTAGTTCAATATAAAAAAAATAATTATTTATTAAAAAGAGTTTTTATTATGTGCAAAGAGTTTCAGTATTTATTTATCTATATAAAAAAAATATAAACACTAAAATCTACTAACACAAATTACCTATTTATCTATTTATTGTGAGTTTTTTAATAAAATGAAATCTGATCCGTTTGGATCTTGGTCCATGATGGCCTTTTTATTGATTTTGACGATTGGATCTCAATTATTAATATAAAAAATTATTTATTAATTAATATAAAAAGAGGTTCAAAAGAGTTTCTATAAAAAACTCTAACACAAATTACCAATTTATCTATTGATTATGAATTTTTTTAATAAAAGTATATCTAACTAGACAAGAATTATTAAAATAAAAATATTTATTAATTGATATAAAAAGAATTTTTAAAAGAGTTTATATTAGACTCTAACACAAATTACCTATTTATTTATTTGTTATATGTTTTTTAGTAAAAGAAATTCTAATTAGACAAGAATTATTAATATAAAAAATATTTTTTAATTGATATAAAAAATAAAATAATTTTTCTAAAACTCTATCACAAACTACCTGAGTTTTTTTTTAATAAAAGGTAATCTAATTTGACAATAATTATTAAAATTTAAAAATATTTATTAATTGATATAAAAAGAGTTTTTTAAAAGAGTTTCTATTTAACTCTAACACAAATTACCTATTTATTTATTTATTATAAGTTTTTTAATAAAAAAAAAATCTAATTAGACTAGAAAAACTCTACCACAAATTACCTATTTTATTTTCAATAAAATTTTAATACATTAGACAAAGATATATTTTAAGATTTTCTATAAAATCTCCAATGCAAATTACCTATTTATCTATTTATTTTGAGTTTTTTAATAAAAGAAAATATATTTAAACAATAATATATTTAAAGAAAATAAAATAATTTTTGTAAAATCTACCACAAATTGGCTGTTTTACTTTCTATAAAACTCTATTATATTATCTACAAAACATTCAACACGTGTGCCTTTTCCTAATATATATATATATATATGTATTAGGGTAACTACATTAACATCCAACACACGGAAATGTAATTACAAGAATTCTTAAATTTCATCAGGTTAATTTATTTTTATTTGTAGAGTAGATTTTTTATATATATTGATGAGCTGATATTTGTTACATATTTTATTCTCAAAAATATATTTGTTATTACCTTATTATATTTTCAAGTTATTTGGAATAAAAGATCAAATCCATAATAAAATGGCAAAGAACTAAGAAATGGCCGCAGCAAGAATGTTTATATATTTATAGTCATCAAAAGAAACAAGCACTCTAGCAAAGATGGCAAGTTGTGTGGTTATTTCAAGGGTGCTACAAAGTTCGAATCCATGTAGCCCATTGATGAGGAAGTTGGCAGCAAAATGGAAGACCAAGGAAGAGAGAGAAAAAGTAATTAACGAGGGAAGAGAGAGATTTGGTTGTAGTTTATTTTTATATATATATATTTTTAGATAAAAAAGTAAGCTTGATAAATAAAAGAAGAATGTACGAGGTCCATTATAGACATTACAAGCCATAGGCTAAGACAATAAGTGTTGTCACAAGATCACTAAAGTTGTTAGCAAAAACATAAAATACTACCAATGCACATTCTAATACATCACGTCTGCATTTCAAGAATGTAAAATTGTTTGACTGACATATTCCAAATCCGGCTTGTAGTTTATTTTCCTTCCTTTGTTTTGCAATTATGTTATTTGATAATTTATTTTGTTTGTCTTATATTATGTGTAACTAAATTTCTATACTAAGGTTGAGGAGAAAACTCCATTAATGAAATGAAGTTTTATCATCCATCTATTAATTTCCGTTCATATATTTGAATGCTTATGATTTGCAGTTATTATGATTAATTATTTTAAGTTTCTTTCACCTTTCATATCATGTATTTGTGATAGTTAAAAATTATTCTAATTAATCTAAACTTGGTTTACAATTTTAGAAAAGCAAATTTTTTTGATATTGTGTTTTTCATTAAATTGGATACATAGAATGCTTAGAATTTAACTCTCTTTAAGCAAAGGAAAATCTAATTTTGAATTGAGAAGCAACAGACTGACATCCAAATTGTTTCTCTTGGATAGGAAATTAATAGATGAATAATTGAAATTTTATGAAATTAATAGTAGTGGAATCCGATACCTTAGTATTTTTCTTTATTGATTTCAATCTCTTTGTTTTTATTTTATTCCTGCATTCATAGTATTAAAAATTCACTCTCCTCAATCAAATTGGTTAATTAGGTTAGACTTAAATTAGTTTTGATTCGCATTTGTTTTTCTTTCAAGCATTCCCTTGGGTTCGACATAGCTCTTGCATTTTCTATACTACAATAGATTCGTGCGCTTGCGAATTATATTTAAAATTAAACATCATATAAATTTTTTTATTTTAAATGGTAAAACATACACACCCATAATTTGCCACCACAAAGACTTGAAGACTCAACCTCCCTCTTGGAGAGGGAGTTTGTTTGTTTAATGAGACTTGAACTTTGTAGGCTTATTAAAGAGGTTATTTTGGCAATAATATTATATTGGCAAAAGACACTCATCTCGGTCATTATTCAGTGATCTAGTTTGTAGAGTGTCTAGCTCTCCCAACTAGTGTGCCCCTTTTTTAATACCTTTTTTGAAACAATAAAATCGTTAAGACACTATTTGTAAAAATAAAAAAAAATTAAAAAAATAAAATAATGCTCTGAGCCTTTTTTTAAAAAAATAAAATAATGGAAGCCACCCCATGGTTGCAATATGGGTCGCCATTTTTGGGTTGACCCATTTTTTATTGCAAAAAATGTGGCCAGAATTAGGAGACTCTATTGGAGTGGATTGGGTTGCCAAATCCGGCCCAGGATCGCTCAAAAGACTTCATTGGATCTGCTCTAAGACCCTCAATTTACCCATCTCAAAACTTAAAGCCTGTACATTACAATTTGGGAATATATATGTTATTCTTCCCAAAATATAATGCATCTGTTCACAATACAACTAAAAAAAATAAAATGCTTATTGCAACCAGCTATCTATTTTGTTAAGAAATTCATATTTAGTTGGATGAATACTTTATGAACTTGAACTATATAGTTTCACTGTAAATCAGAAAAACGTCTAAATTATTCAAGATCCCTCAAATTTTAAAAACTATGCTTCCATATTTTCTCACACAACTTTCTCGGTTGGGTTGAGTGAACTTTTATTTGTTAAAATAAAAGAAATAATTTTGCTGCTTGTTTCATATCAGATAAATTTGTTTAATTATTTTCGGAAGATTAGTTTTGATAAGATACATATTGGTAAGAAGAGATAAAAAAACCAAATAATCTTCACATATAAGAGAACACGGATGTATTGTGGATTCCTTCATTGAAATTTTTTATTATTATATTTTACATCTTTAAATTTGTATTTGTTTGCATTTATACTTATAAAATTTTGAAATTGTCCCTACTGAAATTATGAGAAAACCCCTCTATCTAAATCCCCCTTATATGAATTTCTAGATCCGTCCCTGATAAGAACAAGAAGTTGCAGTGTTTCAGTTAGCAAGGTTCAAATTTTGACAATAACACAATTTTTATCAACAAAGATCTCTGGACGAAGTGGGGAAGAGAGTATTAAGAATTTATATATAAACATACAAATATGTTTATAACAGAATTAAGAATTTATATATATACATACAAATATGTTTATATGTCATTCGCATAAGTGAGGACGAGTATTAAAAATGATACAGCGTAGAAGATAAAGGTTGGAGATGCCACCCCTTTGCTGCAAGGTGAAACCATTAAAGAGGTTTCCTCCACAACCAAAACACAGGCAGAGAGGACAGAGATCTGATAAGTCATTTATGTTAAATGGGATTGTTTAAGGTTATTTTTATCATTTAAATAATTAACTATACAAACGGGTAGTGGCCTGAGAGCACAACGGTTGGAGCCGTTCTAGGAGTGGGCTTCCCACAAACATGAAATCGAATTTATTTTTATTTATGAAAATGAGATGATTGAATTATATTATCAACAAACTTTTATGAAGCCAATAGATGATATTGAACAAATCATGACAATAAAAATGATCTTGTCCTGGCCGATCATTAAATGTTATTTCCTAAATAAGTTGGCAAAAACAAACCAAGCATGTTTTCCTGCCCCGATAATATATATATATTCCTGAATTTAAAATAATCATTTGGCTCTATTTCTCCAAATAAAAGAGAACCAACTTAGTACGCCAAAGAGAACATAACAAATTTATGCCAGACTATTTGCTTATATGTTTTGCACTTCTTATATGAGCTGAAATTTTTTAACCACATCAGTATACCGAAGGCCAAGTAAGCCCTGAAAGAACATTCATTGCACATCAGGCATAAAAAGATATCAAGATCAACAATAATTGTAGCTCCTCGAACATGAATATGAAACAGTAATTGACCAAATTATTATTTTTTTTATTACTAATAATAATAATAATTAATAAATGCTAAGTAATTAAACATAGTACTCCAAAAACAGAACTGAGCAGTAGCAAATATAAGATGTATACTGCATCATATATGCTTCCATGCATATTTCACATTCTTTCCCTTTCTTCTTTGGTTTTGCTCTTCATTTCTCCTTTTACGGGTCATAGCTCCACTCGCTTCTCCGTGCAAAACAGGTGACTCCTTGCAAGACACAGGAGGCACAGCATCAAAAGCTTTTGTTCTTAATAAAACTACGCTCTCTGTATAAGCATCTGCAACAAATGAGTCTATAGGCCAACAATTCCGAGACCATAAATCTCCATGTCCATTCCATATTTGATCATAAGCTACCAGATACCTAGACTTTGTGTGTCGTTTGGCTTCTACATCATAAGCTACTAGCCACCCTCGCTCCGTCCCAAATAGAACTTCGCCTTTCCTTGTAAAGTCAGCTACACTACTCACTCTTCCTCCACTCCAATCAATTCTGAATCTTTTAGACCAAGACTCTGATATGCCATATTCCTTCATCACCCATATGTTCAATGTGGAACTATTATATTTGAAATTACAACCAACAATTAGAGAGAGTGATTCTTGAAACTTAACAACACGAACATTCGATTTCTTGTTAAAACCATTTTCCTCTTCAACAAAAATGCAACCCGGCACCATGATCTCACCAAATACCTCATCACCCATGTGGAATGACACGATCAATTTGACGGAATTGATCCAATGGGTAAGCCAATGTGCAGCCCCGTTCACATAAGCCTGAGGAGACTCGTCGATGATATGTGGAAGACCCAAATGGCTGATGTTCCGCCATGTGCCTGTGCTCAGACTGAAAATGTCAACCTCTGGTGGACTTCGAACACCATTGGTGATACGTTCATAGAGATACACAATCCTCACAACCTTGTAGTCATCGGTCAAGGCATCGTAGCCAAATCCGATTCTATGCATTAAAGGACTGTGTGACCGAAACGGGTCCTGTAATGGCGGAAGAGCCATCGTCTTCCGAATCGATGGATTCCATAGATAAAGCTCCTTCCAGTCCACCAGACGGGAAAAACTACTGTAAAGGCACACGACCCCATTGCAGATGCCGATTATCCTCAAAGAAGGGTTGTTGCTATTCAGTGGAAGACGAAGGTTTGCATAATCATAAAACATTTGGTTTTCGCAGCGAAGTAGAGAGAAATGAACTCCTTTGCCATCATCACCAGAGCGGCTTCGAATTAGTAGAAGGTTGTTGTTGTTGTTTGCAAGGTTGTGTACGGTGATGAAACTAGGGTTTGTGAGCCAAGAGTACCACGATTTGGAGACACAAGCCAACCGGACGAGGGTTTTGATCGGTAGTCTAGGGAGGACGTCCATCAACAAATCATTAGGTAGAAATATTTTCTTCCGATTCATTGCTAGAAACAAACAGAAACGGATGAACACACAAAACCCTAGATTGAGAAACACTTTGTCAGCATACACGTTGGATAGAGTCCAATTAAAACTCTTTGTCAGCCCGTAAATTAAAATACAACTTTAAATGTTCCTAATGTTCTAATTAGTACGTTGGTGAATTGATTTTCGTGGCTAATTCCATTGATGCCCTTGTTCTTGTTGTGCATCTATGAGAACCCTAGATTGAGAAACAAGTTTTTTCTTTCTCTAAATATAACTTCTTTCTATAGGAGTTCTCAAAGGAGATTTGGACCTTTGTTCAACACACTGCAGGATTTTACATTTGTAGGGGTTCTTTTTTTGCTAAGTAATAGAATAGTAATAAAAAGAGTTATCAGTAATACAAATACGAAGGAAAACAGAGGAGATACTTAGTGTAGGAGGAGGAGAAAAAGACCAATTAACTAGATCCAGATGGTGGTAGGGTGAATATACATTGTGACAGCTTTTCTTTAGTTCGGGAGAGTTGTTTCTTTCTTCATAGAACAGTGCTATTTATAGATCGAGATTCCATTGGTCATTACCCAATGGTCCCTTCTATGCATGGTTTCTCGCATGCATCACCCCCAATCCGGATTACGCGAGTAATCCTGCAGATTTAGAGGGCTGAAGGGTTTAATCCCTTCCTCGAGCCTTGTCCCATGTTGCCATGTCACATCTCCCCTAATCAGGGGCATTAAATGTTGCTTGGCCGTCGGTTAGTCAAGCCTGACACAGCATTAATTGTGATTTTAAGGTTTGCTGTCATAACGTGTATCATCCCATCATCTTGTTAATTGGGTTTTGCTAAGAGCGAAGGCACTTCTTGACTTCTCATCCACTGATCCAAGATCCTCCTAAGTTTCCCAAATATGGACTCCTATAACACAGAGATCCTACCTCATCTCGTGCTAAGGAGCTCTGATCTCTCGGGACGGTATCGCCTAGCGTAACACCAAGATTCGGAATGCTCGAAGATCAGCCTCTCGAGGCTTACTGGGCCTAGGGCGATGCCAGGGCTTAGAGTGCTCGAGATTTGATCTTTCGAAGCTTGAGGGCCTGGAGCGATGCCAGGGCTCAGAGTGCTCGAGATTTGATCTTTCGAGGCTTGGGGGCCTGGTGCGATGCCAGGGCTTAGGGTGCTCGAGATTTGATCTTTCGAGGCTTGGGGGCCTGGCGCGATGCCAGGGCTTAGGGTGCTCGAGATTTGATCTTTCGAGGTTTGGGGGCCTAGAGTGATGCCAGGGCTTAGGGTGCTCGAGATGTGATCTTTTGAGGCTTGGGGGCCTGAAGCGATGCCAGGGCTTAGAGTGCTTGAGATTTAATCTTTCGATGCTTGAGGGCCTGGAGCGATGCCAGGGCTTAGAGTGCTCGAGATTTGATCTTTCGAGGCTTGAGGGCCTGGAGCGATGCCAGGGCTTAAAGTGCTCGATCTTTCTAGGCTTTTGACTTTTCAACTTGCCACGGAGGATTTAGCCAGGGTTGTATTGACTTGTCAACGTGCCACATTAGCGTCTGATAAGTGACACCCACATTTTGCCCCCTGCACGTGTGACGATTCAAAATGAATTATTGCGCGTGCAAGATTAGGCTTCTAGGTCATTTATGTTTTCGAGGAGCCGGAAGAGACGCGAGCATGAAAGGTCACCTCCAGTTATTAATGCGCTGTCTGTTGCTGATTTGATTTTTGAGGGTTCCCGAGGAAAGAGGGCTATTAAAAGGGAGGCAGTGACGAAGTGAAGGATTATTTGTGAAAAGGACTTAAAAAGTACAGAGATTACCTGAACCTCCATCGTCGCCGGAGAAGAGATCTTACGAAAGTTTAGAGTTCTTTGGTGCATTATTTGTTTAGTGGAAAGGACTGCCATCATAGTTAGCAAGAAACAAGAGTTATGCAAGAAGGATTGCCCTCCGCCAAAGGTGCCAGCAGATTAGGAATGGCGACGGGCGCCATTTTTTGGAAAAAACGACCTGTTTTGGCACCGGGCGAGCAAGGCTGTGGTCGCCGGCGAACCACTTGAAATGGTTGAATTGATGGAGGAGGAAGTTGAAATGAACTTGGCCCCTCGCATCCCTGTGGATACGATCCTGCGATTTGGGGTTGAGTAAGGGCAATATCTATAGTCCCATGTGAACTTCAATAATCACACAAGTCCAGCCCATAGTTGGGAAAAATGGATAGACGCGATCCTTGCAAATCCGGAGTACGAGGCAATCTTGGACGCAACGAGTTTAACACCGTCTATTAAGCTGTTTCCCCAGATACACATTCCTCACGATACTGTAGGTTTATGGGAACTAACCTCGCGATGGAGCTCAAGCTCGCACACTTTCATTACTGCGTGGGGAGAGTTCACTCCCACGATTGAGGACGTGAGCCAGTTGTTAGGCTTACCTTTTTAAGGGGTGGAAAATCCTGGCTCTTGGGAGTTCGTGCAAGCTGAAGAGACATTAGCTCATGATCTCGAGACAGCACTGGAGAAAACTAAAGATTTTAAGTCGTTGTGGGGCACACAGGGTGTTTGCTATGCTGAGCGAGGCAAGGGTACTTGCAAGGCCACTCTTGGGGCGTTGGTGCGATATTATTTTAAGGATTTCCCCATGACAAAGAAGAATCTCACAGAGGAGGGAAGAAAAGGAATTCCAAGTCCCTGGGTTAACCATTTGTCCAGTCTCGCGGCCTACCTACTATGCTGGCTATCGAGATACCTGTTCGAGGGGACTCCGGAGGATGCTCTGCAACCACGACTTGTGGATCTGGCGGTGAAGCTGGCGAGTGGTGTGAAAGTGGCCCTCGCACCTCTATTTTTGGGAACATTATACCACCGGCTTGACATGGTGTGGGAAGATATGGGATGATTTGTAGGGCGCTACGTCCATTGCTCGTACGCGTTTACCATATTTCTACAATTGTTCTTGTACAAGAGGTTCCAATCTTATGCTCCCATCCCTGCAGAACTAGCTGTAGACGAGGAGGTGGTGCGAGGCATAAGGTGGCATGGTCGGTCACCGCGAGGACAGCTAGGATATGCCTTGGACCAAAGCTTCCAATTCATCAGTCGCCCTTATGCGGTGGAGCTGCCTGGGGCTAAAACTGTAATACCCCTAATTCTCAAAAGGATATAACTGAAATTTATTATTTATTTTATATGCATTTTAATTGATTAATTGATTATTTGATTTGTGTGCATTTGAAATTGTTATTTATTTTATTATTTGCGTAATTGATTAATTGTGAATTATTTATTGGTTATACTTTAATTATTTAATTGTAATGGGTTATGTGTTTTAATTTAAATTGGTGTATTTGTGATTTAATTATTTGATTATTAGTGACTTAATTGACATGTATTTTTGGTAGCTTAGAGTATTTACGTGTGTTGTACTTATAATTATGTTTAGGGTTTAATTTATGTATAATGGGGTAGCCGACGTATCAATGGACTAGGATTAGGATTAGGGTTTAGAAGGAACCTATATATATATAAGACAGTAGGGTCTGCTAGGTTACAAACCCTATTTACGACATAGTATCTTAAGTGGAAAAACTGAGGAAAACTAGAGAAGAGAGAAACAGAGAGGTTTGAGGGGAAAATACAGAGAGCTTTTAGCTATAGACTGAAGGTGTGCCACAGAGGAAGAAAGAGGTTGATGGTGGAATAGAACTAGAGTAATAGGAAGGTTGCCGGTAGTCGTCCGTTCGTCGGAAACTCCATAAACGGCGGTGAAGATTTCAAACCGGAATCTAAAGGCAAGTTTCATTCTATCTTCTTCCTGTAAACTTGTGTTCTGTGCATTCTCTATAGTCTCCAGGAATCTAATTTAATTATTAAAATGGATGTTTATGCGTGATAGAGTCTCTGTACAATTTTAAACCCCTGTTCGCTTTTGAAACTATGAACTGTTGTGTTTTGGTTTTAAATTTTTTTGTCATCAATTTCACAAGAGAATTTGAGGAGTTTCTAGGATTTAATGAACTTGAATTGAACCCTAGGAATGTAAGAAAAATTCTAGAACGGAGGGTTGAACTTCGCCGGACGCGAAGAAGATAAACGGAGAAAACATAAACTGTTGCGTTCATGGTTTAAGCTTTTGCTAGGTAATTCATGCTGGAATAAAAGAAGTTTCTAGGCTTGTTAGGACTTAATTTGAACCTTAAAAATCTTTAACAAAAGGTGGGACAGAGGGCGGAGGCTTTGCCGGACACGAAGAAGGCAACACAGAGGAAGTAAAGAAGGAAAAACGGAGGCTGGGGAAGTGGAGGCAGCTCCACACTTCAATGGAGGCGGCTCCATTGAAGTGGAGCCGGCTCCACAAAGAGTTGAGGCGGCTCAACTTAAAATTGGAGCTGGCTCAACTGAAAATTGGAGGCGGCTCCAATTTTATAAAGTGCCCAGTACGTGAATTTTGTGATTTCAGGGCTCCAGTGTGTGTTTAAACTTGGTTGGATGGATTTGAATGATGTAATTAAATAGGATTATACCCAAGAATGATTAATTATACCCATGAATGATTAATTCATGTTAGGAACTTGATCAACTTGGGATTTAAAATTAAATTCACATGCGGTTTACGTCTTGGAAGAAATTAAATTTCTTGTCGTGATGTTTAAACAAATTTAATGGAGAGGTTTTAAAATGATGTATTTAATCTATTAAAAGACCTAGAATTATTGGTTGAGGCTATGGGAGTGGAGGTCATGACTTTTAATTATTAATTAAGCATGCAGTCAAGGAGGGTGGAAGGGTTAATTTCTAGCGTGGTACTAGTAAATTAAACGGACTAAAATTTAAGTTATTTTTGTGAGGTTATATAAATGAAATATATAATGTATGGGTCCCAGGAATGTTGGTTTCTACTATAGTTATAGACATCATGAAATTTAGATACTAAATTATATGCTGTCAGGAGCAGTGGAAGTTGCAATTGCTAGTCTCGCTTTAGAAAACTAAATGGACTAGCATGGAGGTGGTTTTGGC